ATTTTTGGACAAAAAAAATCGCAATATAGTGCAATATATCGCCTTGCTTATAATATCGCAATATATCGGGATATATCGTATCGTGACTCCTCTGTCATGATATGTTATCGTATCGCCAAATTCTTGCCAATACACAGCCCTAATCCTCAGATTTTGAAAGTTTGTTAGCCGCATTCCTCGGCCTCCTAAATTCCCTCAGAGTTGGGAGAGTACTTTGCGCAGGGCAGTGACGTATGCAGCAGACAAATGTGCACTCATGAGGACCCAGCCCATAAATTGAATTCAGTCGATTTTACAGATATTGAGGTACAGTTTGGTGTGGTAGTAGCTGAGTGAATCATTAAAAGTGTCACTTAAAGTAGTTTAGACATTTTTTAACTAAATATGTTGAAGCACAGAGCCGGATGTGCAAATGAAAGAAATGTAATGCTCCTATATTTGACTGTATTTCAGTGCTTGTAAAAGCTTTCATATGTTTTCAGTTTGAACAGCATCCTGAGCTACCTGCCCAAACAGAGACGTACGGGTTTGTTTTCAGCCACTCAGACCCAGGAGCTGGAGAAGCTGGTGAGAGCCGGACTCAGGAACCCTGTGAGAATTATCGTCAAGGAGAAGGGCCAGGCTGCTGCCTCCACCCAAAAAACCCCTTCCAGGCTCTCTAACTACTATACTGTGAGTGGGGAAGGACTGAAGTTTTGCGTCAATCAGCTCAGAAAGAAGTGTGAGAAATGACAAATCCATGTGCTGTCCTTTCAGATCTGTAGGTCAGAGGACAAGTTCAACAACCTGGTGGCATTTCTAAGGCAGCACAAACATGAGAAACATTTGGTTTTCTTCAGGTACATCAACTGTTTTTATGTCAAGTTTAAACTTGTCTTTCTGCACAGCTAAAACAGAAATGTTTTGTTTGCAGAGAACTGATTWAATTGAGCCAGTCAGCTGAAATGCAAAATACACTTTAAGATTTTATTCTTCGTAACATATAAAACTTCCATAGATGAAGAAAACATGATTATGAAAATTGTAAAAAGCATACCCATTGTTTTATGTTATTTTCTAACAATTTATTTCTCTTTAAGTAAAAAAAAAACTTGTTTTTTACTGATTTGTCATTATCAGTACGTGTGCCTCTGTGGAATACTTTGGTCGAGCTCTGGAGATGTTAGTCAAGAGGGTCACCATCCATTGCATTCACGGCAAAATWAAAAATAAGCGCAGCCGTATCTTTGCTGACTTTCGGACCCTAAAGAGGTAAAACATCTTGGGGTTAAAGTCTCTAAAGAAAGACTTTGTATATYAAATTTTGTGTCGTGTTGCAGTGGGATTCTGGTTTGTACGGACATCATGGCCCGGGGCATCGACATCCCTGACGTAAACTGGGTGCTGCAGTATGATCCTCCCAGTAGTGCCAGGTGAGTGCCACTTGTTTTGGTAGTTTTAGACAAAACTTGATTGTCTAGATTTGTTATCTGATAAGATTTTTTYATGTTCAGAAATAGTTGTCTTCGCTTATTTGTGATTATGTCTTAATTTCAAGAATAAAACCAGAGAAATTACATTTTCTGCAAGAATGTATTGTGAAATCTGAGTGCTGAAAACTTTCCTAAAATTAGTTGAAAATGTAACTTTTAATTTATTTGTTAAACTTGAAATGATCAAAACAAAGCTTGAAAGCAAAACAATAGCTAAAATTAGAATAAACAGTTGGTATAATCTAGAACTAATACAACAGCAGATAAAAGCTGAAACCAGCAAAATAGTTGCTAATGTGTATGCTGAAATAAATTTCAAAGCTTAAAGTTTTTGGGTGTTTTGAAGCATTATCTGTTACTTCATTGGGAAAAATACAAATAGTTAAATATTTCAAAATGCATACGTTACAAAACACAAACGTCATAGCCAAACTGTCCAGAGTGAGCTAATTGTTTAGATGTAGTATGAATGGTTAAAATACAGTCCTTTTCTTGCAAACAACCATTCAGCTGAAATAGGCTGTTCAGTGGCGGGTGGTGGATTTTTCTCCAGGGGGGGCTACAGCTATAAAATAGACTCAAAACGCAATCAAACATGTACTAAGTTATATCACGCCAGTGTATTTATTAAACAAATGAAAATAATAAAACAGCATTACAATGTCATGTAGTGTTTTATTTTCTGTACATAAATTTTGCTCTTCTGTTACTGAGAAGCAAATTTCTTCATGACTCTGGTTAAAGTCAGGGATGTTTTAACCATATTCTTCCCTGTAGAGCATGGTCACTACAGTGAGGTGTGATGTTGTGTACCTGAGGAAAGTCTGGATTGTCTTCAGTGTTGAAG